TAGGCGTCTATCCACCGGAAAGGTATATGTTTATATTTTCGGTGGGCTCATATGGTGTGATGAGTAAGTACGCAGAGATTTCATTAACGTTGCTATCTTTGTCTGATAAATTTAAATTACATTTCATCATACTGAAACGGTTCAAGAATAACGGATTCCTTTTTATGTATGACTAGACTAGATGTCCTTCGTAAAACAAGTAGATTTGAGCGAAAATTTTAAAGATACACTATGAAGAAGCAACAAAGATTATCTCAGTTGTTTCTCAACACAGTCTAGTTCATTCTGGAAACAAGCGATTCCGATTGTGTTCATTACAAATAAAACTGTAAGGCATTCAAGAAAAACTATAATGATGATAGTAAAATTTAGAAAATTGCAATTACAGAATTCATGCTTGTTGATAAACAAATTCAATTTGATATGAATAGGAAGAGTTTATGTGATGGAGAGGGATGTTCTATTAGACCGTTTGAAGTGTTCTGATTCAAAATTTGTTTAGGTTTAACGTTCGGTTGTGCTGTTTGACAGATGAGTGAATGCGTCATTAAAATAAATCCATCGCCTTTTTCAGAGACTTGCATTTTCAGCACCACTGAGCGACTACCTGCAATACTTCAATTTGCTCTGCATAAAAAAGAGTCTTACGATACAGAAGAAATAACATACATAGTTCGTATAAGCTGAACAGAACAAAGGACTTGAATAACACCTTGTTTTTCCCACTTTGCTTGCACATCTCATACATCTAGGATTATCATAACATCCTTCGAAACGTCGGAAAAGGGAGTCAAATGAATGTCATTCAGTGCTCCGTGCCCATCAACGATAAGGATGCAGATAAATAAAAAAAAATCTATGATTACAAGAAACCATTTGATAACGTGGACAGGATGACACTTTCGTTGTATTTTCGAAAATAAGATGTACCTAGAAGACTGTCTACATCATATAGAATTTGTATGATGGATTTAACGGAAGGATCATGTAGGGGTGACAGTTTACAGGTTCGTACCAAGTGAAGACCGCTGCTAGGCAGGTTCGTTTACTCTCTTCCCTTCTTTTTATTTCCGTGCTGAACTGTATCTTGTAACCCCCAACATCTCAGGGGACCCACGGAATACACTAGTCGGCTTGGAAGCAGCTGTACGATCTGAACGTCGTAGATGATCTAGCTGTTCTAAAACACGCAACAACAAATGAGGATGAATATAACCATCGTTGTAGTGACCTCTGCAGCTGTAGGTCTCATCATAGAGAAGGACAAAACATAGATCTCCCGATAAAGTACAACAATCACTTGACTGAGTAGCTTTTGGGTATCCATAAACCTTCACATATCTGAACGGAATCATCGATGAGTTAGGTGGATCTGATGCAGATGTGAGGATCTGGATTAACAAAGCAAGGGCTGCATTTCTATAAGTGAAAAGCAGCTGAAACTGCAAATGAGTATCAATCTTTACCAAAGTCAGAATTTTCATTTCGAACGTCAGGACAATTCTATTGTACAGAGAGGAAATTTGAAGAACCATAAAGTCATCAGTATTAAGAGAAACAGGTGTTCATTAAGTTGTCCAGGAAAGAAATGCAATGTATTTTTTTACCAGTGGGCAATGGACGTTATGAAAGATGGCTTTTAGAAACCGATTACCGTTTGCAAAAATATCATCGAGAAGTTTTGCTATGGTGCTCACGTCTGCTCAATAATGACTTCCAACCTATGCCTCACCCTAATTTGACTACAAATTGTGATTATTTGTACGCCTGTTGTAGAACCATCTCATCTTAGATTAGGTTTTTATAAGTATTTAGTTTTTTGCGATATTTAGTTGGTGTAAGTAACGTGTTCGATTTACTAACCCGGTAGATTTTGAGAGGTGCACAGGAGTCTAAACAAGAATTAGTGATCGGATAGAATGTGTCGGTGGCATCGACAAGACTATTTCTTGTGCAGAAGATGTCCTAGTCAGATGATGTTTGCAGTGTACGCAGGAGATCCCAGTCAGCAAGTTCATAGTCTCCACATAGACATGTTCTGTGTAGGTCAGGTGGTTATATGATGTATGAGTATGCAGAGCACGAGCTACTATTATACGATCCACGCTTTCAGATTCATGGTATAATTGTATAAGTGGTAGTATGATATTTCAACGAAATATTAGTTTCCGTTCTATCATTGTGTCTTGTTTGGGATTGTACACACTGGAACCAACAACGTATAGAACTCAATATCCCTTGACAGACAACTACCTATAGTCCAGTCTATTCCACTGTACTCACCTTCAAGCTGAAACTAATTCACTACAAGTTCGTTCACATTATAATGTTGTTGCAGTTCGTGCGTGATTATCTCTCTTGAATGAATGTAATGTTTAAATACCTATTGGCTGTAAATGAATTTGTTGTCTTGGTTTGGGGGAAGCAAATGTGAATGAAAAAACATCCATGTACGTTATTTACATACCAAATGGATTGTAGTTTGACACTTATTGGTTTCCGAATTCTATTGTCACAAACAAATACTCTATAATCTCTCATTGTATCTTATCATAGTGTCTGTTCCCTTAAATATTCTTTATTTCTTTGATTTTGCACTAAAGCGCTCATAAGTCAGTGGTTATGGAGCATCATGATGATAAAAAATTTCAAAAAGCGAACTCATTCGATGATTGGTCAAATCTTGTGCATTTTCGCAGCCACTGTTCATACAGTGGCGGGTATTTCTATTGTAATACTAACAATATTTGATGTAGGTAGTATTGATTATAACAATTTTAACCATAATGAAGCATTGAAGTATATGAATGTTTAAAATATTAACTACTAAGTCATGTTACTGTAAAGGTTATGCGGCTCGGACACTTCATATTTGAAATAATTAAGTTATTTTTTTGAGCGATTAGCCCTGCATTTAATGCATATAACGTAAAACTCGGTACGTACGTACATCAGTTCAATTTTGCAAATCTAAAAAGAGAAATATGTTCATTAAGAATTCAGAAGATTGTAATTTGATAGAAGACAATGAATGGATGCATTAGCTCAATTGCAAACGATTTTCAGCTACACAATTAAAGTCTAAAGTCTCTAACCAACGGTTTCTATCATCTCGCGGATCCTTCCCAGGTAGTCTGCATCTGATAACACGGCCCAGTCCAGTTGTCCACGACTTCATGGATTTGCACCATATTTTCATTCAGCCGCCTCTAGACAACATTTTTCGTTGAGGTGATCTGTGATTAGGCGTTGTTAGCAGATGTCTCAATCAACCCAACTGATGAATACTCACTACTTCACTAGTTGATTAAAAATCCTTAACTAGAACCACTTTCCTAACACCATCAATGTTTATTCGTTAATCTAAGGATATACAAGTATTTTTTCGCGGACCCGGTTGATCCAGTACTAGTAACTTACGATGTGGCCATGTTTCACACCCGTATAGTGTGACGGAGAGACCTGTGATAATCTCTAAAAGCATATCAATGACAAAGTGAAACAAGACTAGAGAAAATGGACAACCCTGACGAATGCCATTTGAACTAATCAATTCGGCTGACAGTTCGCCATAAACTCTGACCTGACCAGTAGTGGTTCGAGTAGAGAGCCTGTGCCTAGTTGATATACTTCTTCAATACACCTTTTATCGATAGACACTGTCACAGAACCTCACAATCAATAGGGTCAAGGGCTACTCTAAGGTCGAGAAATACAACTATTATTGGAGGTTGAAAAGTATGTCCATGTCTGAGAACCAATTGAAGAGTGAATAATTGGTCTATACATCCACGTCCATATCTGGAACCAGCCTGGTTTTCTCGAGTCTGTTCTTAACGAGCTCTAGATGGGCTTCCAAATATTATTGAAGCTAACAATTTTGGTTGATGCGAAGAAGAGGCAACGATGACTGGCTCTTTCTTTTCGATATCCTACTGTCCCGTTTAGTCAGACAGCGCAAAAGTGAACATCCAATGTGGTCCAGCCTAAGACAACTAATTTGGCTATGGAAATCAATTCTATACATGCGCAAGCGAGGATACGAGAAGCAGCAGTGAAGTTTCCAGATACACGAAGCGTAAATCATGACGGTCACTTACTTTGATAATGAGAGGTCAAATGAATGACTGTGCTCGGATCATGTATATGCGTAGCATACGTCAATATGTACTTTAGAGTTGTAATGGGTATGAGAACAGATGTCACATTAGGGTTGGTCACACCCAGAAAGGGCATTTCTTGAGGAACCAGAATATAAAGTTGAATTATTAATGTTTTTAGTGATCTGTGAGCGTAACTGCAGGGTACAAAGGACAACTGTTTGAGGCCGGCAGCTCATGACCTCTCCTTGAGAAGTTCTCAACGAGTAACCTCCGCTCTTCAGAAATCCTTACCAATGTAGATGGAAAGCATTGAGGTAGTGTGAGGTGCAAAATATTTATGGTCAACCTCGTCTAACTCCGTTCCGTTGTTAGGGGGCGGCATCACTGCCGATGTTGGCTGTCCGACGGATATACCTTACTGTGGTAATAAAATATAAACTCTAAACTCAATTTAGTTATCGCTACAAATCACATTTAAAACTTCACGGCATGTTTTACATATGAAATAAATAAATAAGTAAACTTATGTAAAAATAAACACAAATGATATTTTCAGTAAGCACTAAATGGGACACAATAATTACAAATGTTTTGAAAGATTGCTAACTGGGCTGGTCTACTTGTTTTGTGTTACGGTCGATTCTGATTATGCATACTTCCATGCACAATTTGTTAGTGGATTCTAAATGTTTTTTCACAGTAGCAACACAATGACATAATGTCGAGCTGTAAATGGATATCAAGCACAATAACTATGCACTGGGCATCAGAATAAGAAGTGATTTAATAGATGCTAAATAATATAAATTACAAGCGTGAGAAAATTTTTATACATGTCACACCCACATTTAGAAATGTCACATTGTTATACATTTTAATTTCAGACCAAACACTATAATACATTTCATTACAGAGTGACTGCGATTAGTCTGATATGTCACATTACTGTTCTACTAACAACCACATTGCTTGTGGTCTTTGCATTTCGTCCTTGGAAGTGGTTTGTCTGTGGAAGAATTCTTGTGTTGACTCAAATGGGACTGGGATCCTATGTATGTAAGTTGCATATTGTTGTGTTAATGTCGATGATCAAGTATTTGTATAATCCGAGGTATCGTCATTCTTTTTTAAGATATTTTATTTCATGCAACAGTCATAAGATGACATATACAGCTGTATAAAACTTGTATTAATGTGAAAGACTGATTGTTGCATTTGGTCGTTAAGAAGATGTGATCAACAATTTTACAAGTCTTGTAAATGCTTCTATAATGCTCAAATATATATTCACCTCATTTGTTGTAGTATTGATAGATAGAAATTTATACCAATATACAACATTGTTATAGCGGTACCAATATTATGTAAGATTTACTAACATTAAAAACAGTCGGTTACACTCGTAGCTCGAAAGCTGTTCTATGTCACTAATCGAATTTGAGGAACGTGATTTACATTGTACGTTAAAAAATTACATTCAATCATACCCTTTAATTTGATAGATTCAACTGATGATTTAGTTATTATTCATTTGTTTTCACAGTTCGTTATTTTAATGTGGCTGGTCTTCGAGTTCTGGCTGCTAAAGATCCGTTCTACATAAAAAGACATGAACCAGTAAGTGATCACATTTTAAAACAAACTATACTATGAATATGAATACACATTTACAATGACACATTATCAGACCCAAAACAATCCTTCCCAATATTTTTAAACTGTTGTTGGATCTATGCCGAGAAATGCTGAAGAAATACAGCCATCGGCATCAATGACGAAATGGTCCAAATACTTACAACTTAGTTATTATGTCTTTGAAGTATTTTTGCGATAAACGTTTATTCTATAAGAAATCACATACGTGTTTTGTAAAATAGCAATACGATGAACATTATGTACTCTCTTTTGATGTTTAGTATGGAAGAAACCTGGTTCATCAGGCTATAACTGTAAATTTTTTTAAAGTGATATTCAGATTTTAAATTTATATTTTCTATGAAGTACAGTCACTCAATCCCTTTAGACCATCCACCGGTCATTAACTTCGATTTCGTCTTACTATTCTACAAATGTGTGTAGTTTCTCTGTGATGTCTCTCTTGAAAATCTCACTGTTGAAATCACACAATTGGTGAAATTACAAAGAATTTGACATAAACTACTCAGTCTTTATAAATAACCTTTCATTTTATTTTCATTATTAGGGATATGAAGAATTTAAATGGAGTGCAGTGGGTGAATGGGTGTTGATATATACTTATGTGCAATTTGTGCTAGTAATCGGTTTGGAAATGCGAAAGTACGAGAAAATGATTGAGAAAAGAGATAGAAAATATATAGATATTTGGACAGCATAAATGTTTCCACAAAAATTGTTTAAATGCGTTAATACATGAAGAGAGATCATTCACCATAAGTTAAATGTTGAATATTTGTATTTAGTAGTTTGATTTTATTATTATTTGAAACAGAGTCATTTATGTTCATCGTAAATAAAATGTGCATATAATTAGTGTGAATACAGTTGAATATGAACAAAATGATCTTGTTATATGATTTGTGTATTACATAGACGCGACGAATTTAAGGACATCAGTAGCATGTATTCATTGGAAATGTCTTCATAATTTATGCAAAGCAGTTGTTAGAAATTTTCAATTATGAACAGTCAGACAGAAGACCACTATCACAACTGTTAAAAACCTTACTTTGAACTTAAATTGATTAATCCAAGTAAACCACCCCTGGTTTCTCGCTACAACTGTTGGCAATTATTACCGACAATAAGCATTGTTTATTTATTGAGAATACAAACGAATGAATGAGAGAATCTTAGACTAGTTAACACTAACAAATTTATTGCTGTAGTATTTCTAATGAGTCCAAGGACGTGGTCTTAATACCGTGTCAATTCTTAAATATTACTGTCAACTAAAATTGATTTATTTAGTTTGCAAACACTCATCTACGCATCGTTACAAGTGCGTCACCCACCTGTATGCTCTTTAACAGTTTCCCCGTATTTGAAGAGTTTCTGGGCAAATAGTAAAATCAGATTTTTATTTCCGAACTTCAATAGAATTTTCCTCATCAAACATTCTTTCATTTCCCTTAATAATTGTTTTGATTGTGGGATTTGAGTCAATCAAAGCTTACAAAAATAGTTTCGGTAGGACAACACACATCATAGTCGAATTTAGGATAACAAGTCACAACATCAACAATGCTTTTCAATGAGTCATTTGTAAATAAATCCCAGTTCATCGTGCGAACCATATTTTTCAGATGTTGGATCTATTCTGCGGAGAAATGCATGCATTTGACTATTGTTTCCGGTGTAAGAGTGTATTCATTCAAAGTTTGCCATGTAAGTAAGTTAAAACACAAATAAAGTAATGATCGGAATCAAGTAACGGAGCACATTTACTAGTTACATATGCTCCCATGTCATTGATGTATACCAAGTATAAATGCTCATCTGAACGAGTGAAAAGACAACTTTAGTTAAGGATTCAGTGATGAAAGGAAGCTACGGTCACATGAAATGACAATCAAGACATTTGAATAAGTACAATTATACCTACATTATCGACATTTACGCGACGTAAAACTTTACTTCATCTTCACAAAATTCGTTTCTTGATAAACTTACTGTCATCAGTGGTTCACTTACAATCATATGTAGGTATATTATTTCAAGGTCAGACACTTTGTGAAGTATAGACTAGTAGTCACACAAAACTATACATTTTCCTTTGTCTCCAAGCACAGAATCACGGACGCACATTTGATGATGACTTTCGTAAAGTCAATAAAAGCAGCATAATGTTCATAAGTTACTGGCATTACAGTAGATATCTAGTATGTTCTTCGTGTTATGCATGTCACTTGGTAGGCTTGAAACTATTACGGGTTCACCTTAGTCGATAAACAAGAACGAGACAATGAACCAGTGACACGGTAGGCTTCTCTGAACCGTTGCCCAAACTAACTGACAAAAAAGTCTTGATATAGCGTAGAAAGTGCATTCTACAAACACCCAGAAAACACAATCATTTTAAGCACACAAATCGAGTTTATTTATGCATCAGAAAAACGTACTAACATACTAAAATCACACACCGACCAATCACAGCCAAGAATTTTCCTGGTGGGAAATGAAACCTCAAGGTCAGCTGATCAGCTCATGAATAAAATCCAAAATTAGGACCTTTCTCTGGTGAGTTCTGGGGATCTAACGTTCTCAACACTTTGTATAAAGATTCAGTGTCATACTGATACATATTCATTACATACATTCTGTAAGTAATGATAACCCATCCAATAGTTCAAAACAAACCAAGCTATTATTCATCAACAAGCCTTACTCCAGATATTTAGACTAAGGTGATTCCGTGAAAAATCAGTTCTTTGGAAACGACTTAACCAAAAACAAATAACAAAACATGTTTTACAAAGAAACCTTTTACTTAAAACTCATGGATTTTAAAGTTTGCGATATAGTCTGTGTGAACATTCATTAGAAATGAAAATATCCTGTTTCCTTTCAGAAATATCTGTTAGGCGGAAGAAATTGTTTTCGTTGATCTACGAATCATACAGGAAATTGAATAATCTAGATTATAACTGTTCACGGCTTTCACATTTCTACTTTAAATTATAGCTATCACTGATGTATCGAATTGTCACTGATAAATTGTGAATGACATGTAGTCAAAATATGTGCATCACTTTGTTTTACATCAGTAAGTGAACTGTTTTATGATGTATTGACTTCATGATGTTCAGTTTTCAGTTGAGAGGACGCTTAAAGAACCTGAAGCATTAGCAAAAACAGAAGACAAACTGAAATCTTCTTTTCCTTAAACTGATTGATTAATATTGTTTATGGATTGAAATCAGACATTAACACTATTGAATGCCAACTGAGGTAAAGCGTTAGCACTTGAGACCGATCGACTGAGAATTGATTCTCGGATTGTTTACCTATAAAATAAAGTGCTGTTTCACAGCATCAACTATGCTTTTCAATGCGTCATTTGTAAAGAAAGCCCAGTTAGTCGTGCAAAGCATATTTTTCAGATGTTGGATCTTTTCTGCAGAGAAATGCCTGCATTGGACTCTTAGAATTGGAATCCGATTGTTTACTTATAAGATAACTGGTAATTGCTTTTAAAGTGAGGTTTCGCAAGTTGATTTTGAGTGATAGCAATGATAGCGATCCATAAAACAATGCTAATCACTGATTATAAAACAATCGGTGAAAGCAGGATTACCAGTACAATTACAACTACCACTACATCAATTAGTATTATTATTAATACTAATAATACTAATATATGTGCTTTTTCATCAGTCTTTTATTAGTGTGTTTAATACAGTGAGACGGCTTAGTAGTTGTTCTTCCCGATTTGTTTCAAATATTGATACGGTTTGAGAACTTAGTAACCTCTTCATAACAGTACTAAGGAAAGGCTGTCAAAAATTGTTGGAAAGTTAGAGAAATATAAATATAAAAATATTTTTAATTTCCAACCTGCCAATGTAAGCTGTCTGTAATTTAATTTGCTTAGTGAATTTCGTAGTTATCGTCAAAAAGTAATCTGTTTTGAAGTTGCTATTTGAAAACATTATTCCGGGAACACTAATTGTGCTTAAAATATACTTTTTTAAATTTGTGCTTTTGTTATCTTCATCGACAAAATCAACTGAGTAATGGACTAGAAAGATGTCTTATTTTCGTATTCACAGACTAACATTAAGTAAGGAATTGCAATCTACATTTTATCAAAAGAAAAGCAAATCTGAACAGGTTGTGAATTTATAGATGGACACATTCTACTGAAACATTATTCGCTACTTGAGTGAACCACGTCTAGGGTGCCAAACGTTTGCACTTGAGACTGATCGTCTTAGATTTGATTCTTAGATTCTGGGTTGAGAGTTCTCAATAATGACGAGCTTCATTCAAAGATGACGAACCGTCCAGTCATCTCAGGCTTTCAACAGTGGTTTAGTTAAGACCAGTTTACGGAAAAAACACATGAAAAATTATCCATTCATTAGTGCCTAAGTGAATTCTCATTTACGATCAAAGCAAGTAATTAAGCACATCATTACTATGATTAATATTTAATTATGCGACCATAGCCAAGTCGATTGTTATCCAATCCACGTTAAGATTATCGCTTCATTCAATTGCGTTTTCACTCAGTTACTTCTCTAAACTTGTGTGAATTCATCAAACTCGTGATCAATAAATAATCTGTCCTACAAATTTTCGTGATCCATAGTTTTATACTGCATCACCTTGCGGTTTTGAATTCCATCTTCAAATAACCTCACATTTGCCAGTTTGCAAGTTGTTACTGATGACTATTATTAGTCCAGTGTCTAATACTTCGTATAAAATAATACTCGAATGTTACATTCTAACCAGCTGAAACGAACATGATGAAATCACACCATTCTGCTTCATTTTAGGATTTTGTCTTTTGCAATTTCATACAGAGCTTTACTTCATTGAAAAGTGGCCGATGATTCTATTATTTATTTCAACTCAGCATAATTTTCCACTACACAATAAATATCACTTGATTAGGTTGCTTAAAGGATGTATGCAAGCATTTCCTTGACATTGATGAAACTAGAATATTTATGTCCGAAGCACGAGAATCGGAAATGGTTAGATAAATGCTGCTGTTTAGTAAACTAACGTGCCACTGTTGAATTTATTAAGTAAACGTTAGAATACTGATACATGCATTCATGAAATGCAGTTTCGATTACTTCCTTTCTTATTTGGAAACATATTATACCAAGAGAGCCAATTATAATACGTAGCCAATATAGTCAAACAATCCAAAAATAAGGGATATAATCAAACTTAACTTCTTGGAAAAATTTCTGTAATCTGATATTTGCATAAGCCAAAAATATTATGCAAGTTATGGACATCAAAATGCTTCGGTAACTAGAACTTCATACAAAACATACAATATGGAAACAACATTTGTACAGAAAAAATCTGATTAATCGTTTGAATATAAGTTACCAAACACAGATTCCAAGTCTTATCAAGTTTACAGATTTTCACCAAGAGGTTTAGAATGATCAGTTATGTACAATGATTTCAATTAAAACTTCTGAACCTCGTTAGAAGTTGCATTACCATGTCTCACAAACTAGTTTCAAAATAAGTTCTGGACAACAAGGATTTATTTGTGCGTTTCTTTCTAAATTGAAACTGATTTTTCAAAATCACGGAGTTCCAACGCTGTGATAAATGTTACTTCTGCACAACCCAACACAACACACCACTCGCTCACTGCACTCCATAAGAATTCAATGTAACCCTATAAAAATGTAAACATTTGATAGTCAACTAGTACTGCATTATTGACCAAAGTACAAATATTGTTGTTATATACTTTTCAATTGCAAATATTCATTTATCATTTAGGCCATATCCTGCAGCTTCATAAGCATAAAATATCAACACACCTAAATTCACTCTTTGATGCCATTTACGTGTTGTTGAATTTTCTAAACTGTATGTATATGTACATATAATTTGTAAAGTTTCAATGTTGTTCCTAATAACAATAACAGTAATAAACACTACATTATATTATGTAGGCATTGTTCCTGTTAGTTATTTTATAACTAATTGTAGTTATGCCATAACTAACCAATCAGGTTGTGGTTTACGCACCCACCACGTGATCTGACCTGACGTGTCTGTAAACCTTCTTTTTTGTAAATGACCTACAAATTGATTGACATTATTATCATATTATATTGATGTGACTCATAACTGTACTCATTTCCATAAGACACGCTATATTGGTCGGTACGTTTGCTCGTCTTATTTGGTAGTTGTAATTTTCTCATTTATGGTACTAATGTAATTGTTTTTATGTTTAGAAACAGATAATGTTTAAAGCAAACTTGATCGTGTTTTAACTGTAGCTTTCCCATAGAACCTGTGCTCGCCAATATTGCGTTTACCGTTCTAGAATTAGATCTGTAGGACAAATTAAATCCTACAGTTCCCTGGGTAACAAACATGTAGATGCATATTATTACACAAAGCTCCAGTGATACTACCACTGATATCACTACATGTAGATAAACGCGAACGGGAATTTAACTGAAAAAACGTAGAAGTCCCAAGTTGAGAGATTCCAAAAATTGCTTGTCGGAAATTTAACATGCAGGTCAATTGCCACTGGACAGACACATTGAGATAGACATGATCAGTCAATTTGAACGAAACTGTTCAAAAAAACGAGGACTACTGTTAACCCAAATCCAAGGAGTAATGAAAACAATTTAACTTGAGGAGACGAATAGTCACGAAGAAAGCCTTCATAATGAATTAACTTAAATCTTGCAGAAAATAGTAGGGAATGTTAATCAATGAGATTGTTTAGAACGACATCTGTAGGCTATCTGTTCAACGATTCAAATTAGAGTACTCAATAGCACTAGGAAAATCCACCTGACTCAAAATCTTCTCTATTGAGTTGAGTCAGTTTCAACGAATTGTACAGCAAGTTAAGTTGGTCCGGTTTAATTGAATTTTGATTTTCATCATTTTGAGTGGTTGGATACCTGAATATAGACAACCTTTTATTTTCAAAAATATTCTATCCTCTGTCTAATCAAGTTCATTTCAACAATCTCTAGTGCTTACTTAACAATCTTAAGAAAGAGAGGTTATACTCTAACATCACTTACTGGTTCATAAGGTTTGATGTAGAAGAAATCTTTCGCTCTTAAAACTTTAAGTCCAGCCATATTGAAATGCACAACTGAAAATGGGAGAATATTGAGTTACGATTTTCAAATAAATAAATTAGTCAAAATAAATTATCTTCATAAATGACTACTAGCCTATTTGTCAATAACTGACAGAAAACATCTAGCCATTCAAGCTTTTCGATTACTGATTCACTGTCTATTTTCAGCGTTTACTTTCTTCTGTAGCCATAATTATCAATGTTTTGTGAATTAATGTTACACTATTTATATTCTGTTTTTATCACTTTCAGGCATTTTCACACACACTGAGCTGAAAAGGCTGTTTCAGAATACTGGACTATGATATAATCACATTTCTAGAAGAAAATCATACTCTGCAGCCGGCTTGGTAAAGAGACATGAGACATGATCAACAGTCATATTTCAGAAATTAATTGAACTATCAACAATCCGACCAGCTTGACATTCAATGCTGATACATTGAAGTTCAAAAACTACTCATTATCTAGATACACTAATTCGATTGAAGATTGTTGAAATAATTATTATTGCTTGCTTATTTCTCATATGATAACTATTTTTAATACTGTTTTATGTAAAATCACAATTTGAACAACTCGTCTGACGAGAAACACGAAAAGTTACAGTTACGGGTGAAGCCCTAATTATATTATCATTTCTACTGAAAACTTAAGACGTAAATACTTGACAAATATTCAAAAGAGCACTTCTCTTACTACTGTTTCCTTTCTCAAACATCAGAACCATTTTTCACACAGTTGCATATAATTTATAATTTTATGATTATTACTAGGCTTCCAGACACTGAAGTAGTATGAAACACTCTTTACTGATCGATATGAATCTTAAAAACCAAACAACAGTTGAAAATCTTTCCAATCAATTTCCGCTCACACTTGATTGACTGGAATCACTTTGACGTATTCTGTTTTAAATCTCGCAACTCCAGTACATTTAATTTTACAGTTGCTTTCATCCATTCGATCTAATCATTTAGTCCTAATCCCTTTTCAGAAACTAGTTTATTCAATTCATATTTCATTTTATATTTCATGTACGGTGAAATCTTCAAAAGAACATTTGGTTTCTCTGTTAATTAAAATATGAATTCTCTCATAGTACGTTATAAGTATTTTCCCTAATATTATATCTTTACATTTGTTTGAACTAAAATCTGATTCAATCTACAAACATTTTACAATCAATTCTAAGTACATATTGTGTAATATTGAAAATTCGATTGTTAATTCTGATTCTAGACTGAAGAAGCTGATGACAAATTATTGCAAAGAAAATTCCGTGTTTATATACTGGGAATTAGGTCTGTAGATTTATTGGTCTTATAGTGACAAACTGCATAATCGAAATATGCCCACAGTTTTCGTAATTTGAACCTCATTAGTTTTAGTGTAAGAAAATTTCTATCGGAAGTCCTTGATTTAAAGATATGTACAATCACTCGACAAATTTCTTTGGTCCATTCAAACACACTTACATGAAGCAGATGCCAGTACCATTTGAATAATGACAAATAGTCTTCCGAAACAATAAAACATCCACTTGTTTGAAATACAAGCAATCACAACTGCACCAAGAGGAACTGCAATAACATGACAAGTAAAATTCACTAGAGTCAAGTGATAATGTTCGGCATTGTTTTCTTTTGTCTGTTCAAATGATAATAATAAATCGATTAATTAATATACTTTAATAAACTTCCGAATAACTCTCATCAAACAAACCATTATTGAAAGAGACTGGGGTTTTAGTGTTCCTGATGACTAGCATTCATTCGAAATAGGTTTACTAAAAGACGATTATTGGAGAAAAAATTCTCCTACACTGGTAAACTGGTCTGATTTGAATCTCTCAGTTTTCCAGTAGAAACACGTGCTATGGTTCAATAAACAATACAACGTTGTCACTCAAATATTGAATGATCGTCCTATGAAATGTGTTTCATCCATCACCAAATAACAAGTTATTTACTGTTGTTTGCCTTCAGTGTTGTAGTATTCTTAACTGATTCAGTGTATGCATTGGGTTAGGAAGGAAGCGAAGTGAGACTGGGGAAAGAATAATTTTAAATACTTGAAATCATATAGTCGTTTGTCTTTTGACAGTTATATCCTCCTTACACATTCACATTCAGTTAAGTTCTTGTGATCTGTTCTTCGACACCAGGTCGTTCTTAGCGAATAATAATAATGAAATATCAACTTAACAGTAAATCTCAAAACTGAAAAGGATAATGAACTCACGTTAATAAAAGAAAGTCCAACTATGCAAATCCCTGCTATTGTCATAAATACAACAACAACTGCACGTATAAAATGAAGTATTACGGATCGTCTCTTTCTTCTTATTTGAAGACCAGCTTTCCAAAACCAAATCCATTGACTAAAAGTAGCTGTAAAAACAAAAATGATTAGTATCAGTTGAATAACAATGAATAACAACATCGAAATACTACTTAAATATAATAAGTAGTATAATATGTAGTATGATAAACACGTAGATGACTTAGTATTCGCGTTTTTTACCCATGTTGAAGGTAGGAATTTAAGTAAGTCGATCATGAATAGTGAAAGTTATGGTATAAATGTGTATCAGAAAAGTCGTACTATTTCATATGAGCATATCAGCGAAAAATGAATCTTATGATAAGCCACTGTGGTCGTTATTTTTATATCAGAACGAAGATTGAAGTACTGGT